TAGTTTCAAGACCAAAATTCAATAGCTAATTTTTTGTCCCAGAGCAACATGTTTACAACGGACATATTAAACTCTTGAAAATAGAGCAGCTTCTAATGGAAGTGACAGCTCATCTTTAACTTTGGAAGGACAAGCAGTACCAATTTAATTAAAGCTGTATTAAAATAGGACTGCCATTTGTATCACAGTGATTCTCCACCCCTCTGAGAAGTTCTGCTGCCATTTTGTACCACACATTCTTGTCTTGTGCAAATTAATAGATCATTTTATTTTCCACAGGAAATCTGAAGACTTTTATAGCAAATCGTCCAGTGTCAAAATGAACACAGGTATGCTGCTTCCGTGAGATTTTTCTTAACTCTTATGTGTTGTTTAGTAAGCAGAGAAGGTCCCATATTTATTTAAATTTTCATTAACAAATTGTCCTTTAGTTGGTGCTGAACTCAAATGAAGCAAGATATTTTAACAGTATGTCTGCTTATGTGCGTTTGTATTCCATACATTAAATTTACATACATGTTTTTCTATGTATGGATATACATGGATATGTGAAATAATACATGCATGTTTAACTTAATGTGCTTAAGTTTTAAGTATCAGTTTTATATATGTATTTTTTATGTAAACATATATAGTATGAGGACATAACAGCTATGGAAAAGCGGTATTAAAGCATCACATTTTCCTATGAAAATGCACATGCTTTAAAAATGCTTTGTTTTCATTCTGTACTGTCATTAAATTAAGGGGCATATAAATACTACCCTATATTATTAGCTACACTTGTATAATCAAATGAGGGTAACAATTTTGTATTTAGAGGGATATGCATTTTTCCTCAAGTTGCTGTGATAGATGTATTTACCAAGTGAAGTACTCTATGCTATAGGAAGTTATCCTCATGATCTGTGACAACATACTAATATTTGCTCCTGAATAGGTGAAGTCAATAGATAGTGCTGCTGGTTTTGCTGGAAGTGGGAATAGACCTCTCAAAAGCAGACTGGTGAAATCCTGGCCTCACTCATCTCAGGTGTAAATTTGCAGTTGCAGTCAACTCTGTATACTCCATAGGTGAACTGTCTGGTTGCAGATTGACTGTGGCACAAGGATAGAAAAATCCTTCTTTTCCAAACCAGTTGATTTTATCGTTGACCATAGTGTTGCACCATGACTACTGACATGACAACTTGGAATAAGTAAAATTTGTTATATGGACTTGAGGACCTGTACTACCTTTGAAGCCAGTTTGGGTGTTTCAGCAGCATGCTCTAAATCAAAGGGATTAGCTTTTCCATGGTATAGGCTGCCATTATCTAGACCAATGTATTAATCAGGCTTCCTGGCTTTCCAATGACTAGAACTCAGTAGGACCAGGTTCCCGGACAGCCCTTTTTTTAATAGAAGGTTAAAGTATATTGGCTTACTTAAAACCCCTACATTTGTAAATATAATAATCAGGAGAAATGAAATTTCTCATTTGAGTTTGTGTTTTTTTCACCAAAATTTGGTTGTTCTTAATTATTTTACATATGCTAACCAGGGTGGTGTGTTTTTCATTTATGGAAATGCTGTTTGAAATTTGTCCTTTCCTCTTGCATTTTTAGTGAGGATGTCTTTCCTAAATGTGTCAATCTGTACAATTAAGGTAGTACTGACATACTGTTTGCTTCATAGAACTGTAATTTCAGAACTAACGCAGCTAATCATCATACAGTTGACTGTGATTACATTGTGCATTGCAATCATACAAGTTAAAATCATATGACAGATGTCATTTTATGGCTTCTACTTTGAAAAATGTGGATAGTGTCAGAGCGGTAAATTGCCAGTTTGTGCTCCTGCAGCTCTGAAGTATGGCTTTGTTCTATTTGTACTAACATTTTTCATGTAAGCTAGAAATCCTCAAGAGAAATAGATTACTGAAATCTTCTGTCTATGTGGCTGAATGACTTCTATTGAGGATTAGGAGTCTTTTGATCACACAGGAGCCTTGAAAACCTATTTAAAAGACCCGAACACACCTGAAATCATTCCCAGTTACCTAAGGATATCATGATTGTAAGCTGAACTTCAATCTACTCTGCACTTACACAGTGAAATCATTTTTCATTTTGTATATGCTTGATATTAATGTGCATGTTACCAGCTGCATTAAAAGGGGGTATTGACAAAAAATGTGGTATTTCCTATCTGTTCTATTGATGTTGATTGTTTCCTGATTGTAAAAAAAAATTTAAATTTTTTTTAAAAGTCCAGTGAGTGGGGTGTAAAAGTTATCTTGCACCTATCTGTTGATGAAGCATCACTTTACTAAGGAAGAGTGACTGAGGTGGAAGCTGTTCTGTATGGTGTTCCGGTCTAGTTGTTTTGGTTTGGGTTTTGTTTTGAGGGGTTTTTTTTACACTATGTTGTCTTTGAACATAAAATGAGTGCTGCATTTCTTTTAGTTTCTTTTTTATATTTCACTGCTTTATAACGGGAATTTGTGCGTGACAGTTGGAATACTATTGGTTGACTACTACACAGATACTATTGATTTGCTACTATTTTGTCTTAAAAATATATATTTCATTAATTACTCCTACAGATAAGTGAGCACTCTAGTTTGATGCCAGTAACTGCTGAAGTGGCAAAGCTAGTGTATATGCAGCTTTGAAAAGAAAAAGTAAATCCACTGCTTAGAGTGGGCTCCTCTAATCCAGTGTTCCCTGTGGCTGCAGACTTGGCAGTCTGTCTCAGCAAACCCTGTGGAAGATATTTTTGTCTACAGAGAAAATGTTTTGAAGAGCTTTGGTTTTCAATACTCTACTATATATGGGAGGGATTTTTTAGCATTTGATGTTAATTCTGTACCACATGTTAGGAAAGAGTATTCAATAGCATAAGGCAATGAAACATGTTTGCAAAAGTAAAGAAATAAATGTAAGATGTAGAGGAGGTTTTCAGAAGGACCAAAGGTCTTTGTCTTATAGTTCCTTTCAGTGTTCAAGTGCTGTCATAATTTAAAAATAGTAGTTTAGCAAAACATGTGCCTTTTTAAACCCAGACTAAGCAATCATCAATTGAGTAATATTTAAAACTATATATAGGAGTTTTCATCTACAAGTACTTTAGACTATTTGTCAAATAGAGATACAGCTCACTGTGTAGTAGGAGCAGTTGTTGGGATTGTGGATTTAGGGGGAAAGGGTTAGAGTACTTACTTGTGGAGAGAAACAGAGCTGAGGGAGGGAGCGAGGAAGAAGTGAGGAAAGGTGAGGAACAGAGGCTGAAGAGAAAAACTGTAGGAGGAGAGCCAGCAAAGGGAGAGGAGCTGAATGGTGAGCTCACAAGAGGAAAAGAGCATCCAGAGCCCCAGTGTGGAAATACACATATCCTCCTAGCTGGAGGGCAAGCCACCACCTCCCCTGTCTTTTCCAGTCAGTGGGCGGCTGTTTCATTTTCTCTCTCTGAAGGTAAGTCTGCACCGTTGATCCTAGCATTCAGGAGTTTGTCCCTGTACAGCCCTTACTCTGGAAGATACTGTCAGAAACATGTCTCACCAGATAATCCTTACCTCCCATTTCTCTTTCTTTTTGTGTGGTACCTGCTAAAGATGCTTATTTGTCTTTTCCTGATTTGATGGGAGTATGTAGGGCTTGCAAAAGAATATCTAGGCATCAAGTGTGTGCCAAGTCCTGACTTGAGCCAGACTTGTATTTTAGGCAGCTGTTTTGTTTGTGAAATATTGCCCAACTTCATATTCTAATCTTGCCTGCAGACCTTAGCTGTTTCATTGTTAAAACAATGCCTAGGAAGACAGGACTCTCACTCCTAAAGAATTTGTCATGTCAAAAGCATAGAGAATTGTGCATATGTATACGTATTTGCACAAATTTTGGGTTTTTTATATACGCATACATTTTGTGTAGATTGTTTCACGTATCCTCATTTGTTCCTTGAGTAACAACTGCAATATTAATTGCTTATAGTTTGCAAGTGAAATTAGCAGATGATCATTAGTTCAGCCTCCCTTACTATTTTTGAATTCTCTGTTCTCTAGACTTAGAGCTTTTTGGAGTTATTCAGACTTCAAGAATCTGGGTGAATATAGTTAGTGTTTGCTGGAAATTTGATGGAGCTGTGAAAAAGGAACACAGGGTGAAATAAGCTTCTTGAAGTTCAACTGTGTAAGGCCGTGGAGATAAGGGAAGCAGTTTGAAAACTGCCTCTTTTGAGGCAGTGCAGATTCTTCTGATCCACATTCAGATATGATGCCCTTGACTTAATGCGAGCCTGGCCTGAACAAAGATGGGAAGGTGGAATACAACTCAATATGGTATATTTGTGTGGTTAGATCTTAATAGAGTGCTAATTGACTCATTAATTTGTACAGATGCTGAAAATGTTGTTGCAGGTACAGACTTGCATATGGGCTTCCATATATAGGGATAAATGTTGTATGCATGTATGTATTTAGTCAGTTACAACATCTGTTTTAGCTATCTTATATGTAGCCATGTCAAATGCTTTGCTAGATATTGGGTCCACTAAGTATAAAACTCTGACTCAGTTCAGTTACATTAAAAATTCATTTGAAGCAGAATTTCTTAAAGTTAAAATGATTAGATACTTGTAGTCAGTTTTCTTGTCTTCCTTTCCTCCCAGTTCAATTTCTCTATCCTGAAGTTCAGGAAGGTAGCTCTTGAAAAAATAAAACATCGCTTTGAGTAAAAGAGGTGACAGTATAACAAAGTTGTTTGCCTGTTAGCTTGTACTGATCAAATACAGTATGCTGTTAAAGTCTGCTCTTATTCAGATAAGAACAAAACCTCAATGTCAACACATAATCAAATCTCCTTGGAATTACTTCTGGTGTATGTCAAGGAGGGGGGGAACAAGAATAGAAAATGTGATTTTAATTACTATCACCATTCTGTATTTATGTAAACAAACTAAAACAAATGTGAAGATTTGAAAGCCATTGTCTTTGTTTCACATATACAACATTGTGGGTAATGTATTACTTTTTACTGTTGCTGACTGAAATCATTTGGCCTTTTGCCTTGAGACTTGGAATTGGCAATGAGTCTCTGGAACCACTTACACCTGGGGCAGTGGCTCTGATGTTTGCCAACGTTAACAACTACTTAATGCATATCCTGCAAGACCTGTGGCCAGAGGGCTTTGCTATTTCAGGGGAATATTGGAATGAACAAAGAAATATCAGGAGCTCACTCGACTGTGGGCGTGAGTTAAAGATGTCTCTGTGGCTCGAATTACTGCTTTGCTTTATATGAAGTACTTTGTACTAATAGCTTGCAGATCTTCCTTAAGCATAATTTTATACAATGCACTGTCATAGGCCACAGATATAAAAACTGTTAGGACCTCTATTGTCGTTGTGGTTGTTCTTGTCTTCAGTGGGGCCCTGGATGAAATTTCAGTAATATCAAGTATGAAAATTAAAATAATTATTGTACTGAAGAGCAGAAAAACACTCTAGTGAAACGTAAGCAGGAAGAATATTTATTAACTTTCTTTTACAACTATGAGAGACTTCCTAAAAAGCTAAGAGGTGGGAAAGCTACCTTCTAATAATAACAGAGTATTTATAAAACAGAATGACAGCTCCAAGTGAGAGGAGCAGAGAGTAAGGAAAGAAAGGAGTCATGCAAGATCCAGAAAAAAGGCTTTTTCCATTCCTGGTTGTTCAGAGTGATTTATTTTAGATTTCTAGTCATTCTCTTGGGATGTTATTGGGTTCCAAACATACATCTTTGTTATCTTCCATTAGGTAAAAAAGAGGGGGGAGGGAGAACAGGGATGTTCCGTCAAAACAAGAAAAAAATCATGTCATCCTTAGTAATTTTGTTTCTGTGCTTAAAGGATCCAAAAGACTGAACAAAAGCACTTTGTCAGCTGATCAAACATAAGCTTGATTTATGAATAGTGTCTTTCTAATGCATACAATGAAATTATTATACAGTGCAGATTATTGATTAATATTACTCTGGAATGCTTAATCCTTCATTTTGATTACTTGTTCATTTTTACTAATTAGCTATAATTAAACGTTCTTTAAGGTAACAGAATGTATCTGTTTCCCTAGTGGATTATTAAATATTGCTTTCTTTAGTTATTTTCTATGAGTTTATTGTTGTTTAAAGCTTGTGAAATTTTATGTATTCTGCTAATCTGCAAAACTTGCAAATTTACACATTCCTGCAGCAGTTCCCTAACTGCATGCTTATTTTCTTGTGTGTTTGGTGTATCTCACACTGCGATGTGTTGCATGTGCTTGCTCCTTTTGTCTGGGGCTGCTGTCTGTATTGTTTTGTGCTTCCAGATAGCGGTGGGTGTGCTCGCAAACGTGCTGCAATGTCTGTCACATTAACAGCTGTGAAGAGGGTTCAGAGTTCTCCAAACCTATTGGCCACAGGTATAACTGCTAACCAGCAAGATACTACTCTTCAATGGCTTTTCTAGAGTGTTATGTATTCCTGCAGTATTACTCTGCAAAGAAAGAAGGATAACTGTACTTTCTATTCTACTGACAGGTCTGTTACTTCTACAGCACTCTTTAAAAAGTAGTCTTAATTTCTATCTGCCTATGCTTAAGAGCCATTAATGGGAAAAAAAAAAAAAAAAAAAAAAGGAAGACTTAGGAAAAATCAGTTATTTATAAATTAATTTTGCCTTTAATACATATCTTGGGTTTCATATCCCTGTTTTTTTTCAAAATAGCATAGCATGAAAAGTAGATTTTGTTTATTACAACTTGCTTTAAAAACTCTACTCAAAGGAAAAGAATCTGAATGTTGTTGTAGAATAATCATCAGAAGCCATATTAACTTTACTAAAATCACTTATCAAGCTTGTTTTCCTAAAAATGTTTAAAACAATTAAAACATGCAGAATATTCAGTAGACAGGCAGAACTGCTTCTTAGCAATACTCATGTCTGGTTTTGCGAAATTAAATCTTAATGAGTATCAGCTGCCCAGGTTCACTGGTGAATTAAGTAGTTGCAGGCATAAATCAGTAAAGAATCTTGAGAGGTGTAGACTAATTTACGCTAATCTGAACATGCAATATTCACACCAAACAAGTATAATACAGGAAGCTGAATAAAGAATGAGACAGAAAATAATCACAAGATAAGGTCTTTGTTTTGTAGATCTTTTCAAATATTAGTCTTATATTTGAATATATTATATTAGTCTTATATATAAGGTCTTTGTTTTGTAGATCTTTTCAAATATAAGACTAATCCCCAGGAATAAGAAGTGTTAGAATTTATGAGGCAAATTAAGGTTTGGTTGCCATTCTTTGTCAGGATACTGTAAGGGTTATTAGGATTACTGCTTGTATGTAACTTTAAGAAAACATTGGGTTCTTGTTTCTTAGCTACCCTTCGAACATTTTTATCATTTAAGCATGCAGTGCAAGCCTCTTAATGTTTTGCACTGTTGCACTTAAAATTAATGATAAGTGCTCTTAGTAGTATAATTATTTTACATGAAAAACATTTGTAATTTATTTAGAGATTTTGTAATTTTAGTTTCTGTAGGAGAAAAAAATACTAATATATCTGAATGTAATCAAAGAAACCACCAGAATTTCAAATCTGTTCTGTGCTGGCAGTATGAATGTATCAGTTTCTGTGTTTTGCTTTGAAGTGATGAAGGAAGCATCACACATTCTGGTGTGAAGAAGGAGAGAAAATCCTGACAGAATCTTTAGGCATCTTTCTTGGTTTTGAATTAAACCTTTCCAGCTCATCTTAAAGGAATGATATTTCTTTTGGTATCTAGATTTTAGATGGTAGTATATCACAGTATTTACTGGAAAAACCCACTGCAAATATTTAGTATTGACTGTTTGAAATAGCAGTGATTAAATAACAGTAACTCTCAGCACACTATAACCTGTAGAATTTGTGCAATAAATGTTGCACAGTTACCTATGATCTGATATTCCAAGGTGTACTTAGGTAACAGGAAAGAATTAGGTAATTGAACAAAAACACTACATATTTTTCAAGTTGTGTCCTCATGTTTTTATTTCTAACACAAACTAATATTGGATGTTTCTTTTTCAGGGTCTGATTCTCAGTCTCCAGATTCAGGTAAATAAAACACTGTGTTATTTATTCATCAGTGTAATACCATTTAAGTTGATGAATTACAACAGTCTTCCATTTATTTTATTTCATTACTCCATGCATACACATTCTTTAACAGAAAGCACCACTGAAATTGTAATAATAATTGCAAGTGGTTAAGACCTCAAATTTAGATCTCATTCGAAAGCAGTATTTCTTATAACACAGTATATGTTGTCAGAAAATTAACTGTGTGGGAGAATGCAGACTGCTAATTTGCCACCTTTAGCTTCCGTGGCACTTGCTATTTCATTTTTAGTCCCTTACTCAGGATTGCAAGTTCTGCCCACCCTACTTAGCAGCCTGCTCACATGTGTTACTTTTTCCAGCCTCTTACAATATTGTGTCTTCAAATCTGTAACTTGCTGAGGCAGGATAGTATCTCCCTCTATGTTTGGACAATACCTTGAGGGCTTTTCAGCTCTGAGCATAGACAAAACATTGTGGGTTGGAAAATCAAGTTGTAATTCAGATTTGGAAATAAGAAACCTTATTGGAACAACTAATTGGGTGTTGTGGTGAAATTTGGTGGAACTGTCATGTTCAGCTAACTTTACGTGAGCTGGGATGTTTTTCAAAATCCAACACAGCTGTGAAGTTCCAGAACCTAATCTGTGGAAGTATTTCAGCCTGCTTTATACAGGAGCTGAAGCACCAGCATCTCAAAAGGACTCCTAAGGTTAAAATCCATAGTCTGTATAAATGTTGTGGGCAGATATCAAACTACTACCAGGAGTATTGTCAGTACTTGAGTTTCCCAAATTTTAAAGATAAGTATTTTGTAAAGTATCAGCTTTAGCCCTGTTCTTATAACTTCCATGGTGGTAAGAGCAGCAATGTCAGTTGTGTAGTAGGTAAACTTTTCTGCAATTTGTTTAATAGCTGGGATGCTTTGATGATAACAATATAGAGATGTACTAATAAAAAAAAAAAAAAAAGAAAGTTTTGATTCTCTTTTCTTTTTTCCTCACAAAAGCTTGGAGATCTTACAATGATGGAAGTAGAGAGACACTGAATGGAGATGCTAGCAGTTCATCTCTTACAGCAAAAGGTTTTAGGAGCGTGAGGCCAAATCTACAGGATAAAAAATCACCAACTCAGGTAAAACTGAATACAGCAAATTTCATGCTTTAACACTTGTGTGTGGGTTGTTCTTAGGGAATAGCATATTCAGGGTGGGATACCTCTACAGAACATTGTCCTGATGTCTTCCAGATAGTGCAAATCACCTGTTCATATGGGTTGTTACAAACTGGTTTACTGCATAGATAAAGTATACACCACACAAGATGCATGCCTCCAGGTTAATTACCAGAAATTGCTTTCAGTGAACAAGAAACCAGCTAAATAAAAGTAGGTCATACACAAATAAAAGCTTTCTAGTAGTGTTCCCAGACCTCAAAGAGTATTTATTAATATTTTACGCTCAGATAAATGCATCAGTCATCAAAATAATATCTGAGGATAAAGTTTTATTAATTTTAAGGTAGACAAATGTTACTGCCTGTTTTGTAGAACAATATAATTAGATCACATTTAAAAAAAAGACACTTAACTTGGAAACATATTTATCTGTACAAAAAAGATCAAAATACCAATGCCAATACTGTCTCTGTTACTATTTTAATTCAAGGTTTAAGAGGATCTGTGTGTTTTATATAAGCGTGTTACCTGTGAATAATAGCTTGTTATCTAAGATCATGGAGTACATTTTGGAAATTACTTACATATGTGAACAATTTCATGGTAACAATTCTTGTTCAGTGTAATAATTGTTTTTTTAAAAGAAAATGAACTATTTGGGGCTCCTTTCTGATCTCAGTTTATTCTGAGCAAATGGAACATCTGGCTTTATAAACACAAGCTGTACAGCTAGAGGTGGTGGGAACCTGACCAATTCAATTGCCCATTGAATTGAGCAGTGTTGGGATGAAGCCCCTTAAGTTGCTAGTTCCTTTATTTAAAGATAAAAATCAAACTCAGTTATATCTCCTGCTAACATTTACTTTCTTTCTGTTTCTTCTTCAATGTTGTTTTGCTGTGTGTGGATGCTTTTGGCAAATAAGGCACCTCTGCCACCTCCTAGAAAAGAAAGTTTTCGGAAAGCAAGAGTAACTAATCACAAGAACGAAATTAATCTCCAGGCAGTAACAACCAGTCCAGCTAAACACCTTCCCATAGATACTGCCTCTTACACTAACGAGAAGTCTGTCCAGAAGACAATGTCTTCTCAAATATCTAACACAAGTGTGTCCTATGCACAAAAAATCACTAAACCACTGACCTCAATCCCCAGTGCAGGCACAAGCACAGTAGCTGGTATTAGTACTACTCTCCATCAAGGCCAAAGGCAACAGTCTCAAAAACGTAAGGTATCTACCCTGAAATTAACCCAGACACGTGACCCAGCAAGTAGCATTCATTGTAATACACAACAACAGCTCAAGCCTGTTGAAGTGACAGTATTTCCACAAAGGCCTGTCTCACCTGCCTGTAACCCTGTGCCTGAGATACACACAGCATCTCTTTCCGTTCAGATAGCTCCCATCCCTGACAATAAAGCAGAGCCTGAAATCCAAGAACATCCACCTAGTATTTCTCCAGACACTTCAAAGATGTCTTCAAAGGATTTGGGACAAAAGTCTACAGTTCTTCCTTCTTCACAGGCTGCAGAATGCCATGTGGTATATTTAATTTTTCCATCTTTTATTTTAGATCATTCATGAATCACTTAATAACCCTCTGTTTAGTTCTACTTACATTATCAAACTTAGACCTTGTGTTTTCTGGGTAAAACTACCTGTCATATGGATCAAAACAGAAATGAACAAAACGCACTCTTTGGAAGACTATCGCAAAAAAAAAGTTAACCTAACTCTGCTGGAAGGTAGACTTCTTTGTTGCTGTATGAGCACTTTATGGAGTGCAAATGCACAACAGGAAATTAATGAATTGTAGGTGAAGCGTCTGCTTAAGTAGCTCTTCCTATAGGGGGTTGCATTACAGTGTTATGCTGCCATAGGTGCCAGAAGGATCAAGTATGGATAGAAAAGAGTTGGGTTGGGGTGAGGGTTCTACAAATGCTGCTCTGCCAGTTTGCTAGGGCCACCAAAAATATATTTTCTCAGTTCATGCTTTCTGCGAGGCTGGTCAATGCTCTCTGCAATGTGTCCTATGCAGTGGTGCTTTTTAAAGAAAATGAGCTGATAAAAATCTCTGTCAACCACCTCTACATGAAGCATCACAAGGCACTGAACTTTTAAGTGTATACCTATACCTCCTGAGATGAAAACTCTTTGTTAACTACACAGATCTCATCTAGGATGAATGGGAGTATTAAGCACACAGTATAGGACCAGAGGAGTCTGAGAAGGGTTTATTTGCATTCAGAAAGTTACCAAGTCAAATAAAATAAGCCTGGGAGCAGTAAAGCAGCACCAAATACATACTAGGCAAAAGGAGAGCTCTGAATAAACTTTGTTATTTCTACTCTGCTTTACCTAGTCATGTTAAGATGTTTCTATTTTAGAAGTTAATTATTCTAGTATATCTACCAATATACCGGCTTATCTGAGTTTGAAAGCCCTTCAGGTGGAGGTAGGGATTGCTGCAGGTCTAGGCATATCTGCCTCAGAGCTTTGTTTGAGTGAGGACCCCATCATGGCCAATTTTTGTTCATCTAGTTCTGCTGAAAACAGCGGGGCTACTCTGAAGTAAATACGGCACAAACTTGTGAAATTAAAGTCCCTTGGCAGCCCTGTTGTTAATAGTAGTAACACATCTGCTCTCTCAGACTGTGGTGCTTTCAGAGCATCACATTCAACCAGGTCTTTACTCTGGAAGCCACAAGTATGTGCATTAGGTACAAGATAGTTTTGCAAATCAGTTTCCCCTTCAACACCCAAGTCTATGTCAATTTCCCCCTTCAACTCCCAAGTAAAAATTTTTATCAGAACAAAGCTCTGTGAAATTATATAGCAACAATTTGCAGTGCTGCTTCTGAAATCACTCCATTAACAAATGGGAGCACAGAAGATTTAATCACACTTGTCTTTCTCAAGATTAGAGACAAAACTATCATTCTATTAGGCTACATAAAATTTAGAAAATTTTGAGAAGAACAAGTTGCTTTGCCCTTGAGAACCAGTTTGCTACTTGCTTATTTTTGTCAAGCAGAATGGGTCAGTTCAAGCAAGAGCCACAGTAAAGAAATCGTGTCAGAAGCAGTAATGAAGGCTGAGTAAGGGCTTTTTCTGGTAGATAGGGCAGGTATGAAGATGATAGGATAAAGGCCTGCAAGCCTTCTAAATGTGGGCATCAAAGGATATGGTCAGACAGTAGAACAGGTGTAGGTGTGGCCAATACAACTTAGGCATCTGTGTTTTCACTTAGAAATAATTGTTCAGCCTTTTAGCAGTATGATGCATTATATATGCTCAGAAAAATCAAAATACCTCTCAGACAGAAAGTAGTTTTATGACACCTAACGAGAGTTATGGGAAATACCTTTTTTATGATCCAGAATAATACTCAAACTCTAATCAGAATGACTAGAAATAATTTATCTTCTAGGTACTTTTTCTTTAGAGTTTTAAAAGTCAAATCAAATTTTGCAATTCTTTTTTATTTTAAGATTTCTTGGTTTCACTATGAGCTGAAAAAAATAAGAATAGTAGCTGTGACTTGTTTGGCAATTCTACACTTTTTTTTTTTGCTTTCTCTTTGGTTTCAGTGCGTGGGAAGAATGATCAGAAATTTGGCAACTGGGTTGCTTTCAATAAAATTATAAAAAATTCAGTTTATCACCAGGATCATTAAGGAATGTAGCCAGCTTTTCAAACTCTATCCATTTATTGATCTCTTGCCTGCAAAATTCAGCTGACATCCTCCCTGATGTTCAACTTTGAAAAACATTAGATGAAGAGGTGTATCTGGCATCACAATCAAGTCATGGAGCCAGCGAGTTTTGCTAGCTCTGTGTTAAAATACATACCTAAAACTAGTGTAGAAACCAGCATGTGAAGGGGTGTAAAATTCTGCATCAGGTGAGGTCCCAAAGCCAAGATACCATGGGCTACAGTTAGAAATTAAGGCTACAGCTGTATGTGTAAAAAGATTTATTTTCCAACTCAGATCTCTGATTTCTTTTCTGACTCAGATCTCTGGTTGAAATCTTGGAACTGTTGTAACTAATGCCAAAACTTATGACCCCCATTAGCCCTGTATCTCATGGTACTTGCAAAGTTGACAATTTCTCTTGCATAGACAAATTAACTTAACAGTATACTGTGCATGATAGTACTTTGATTTTTAAAATTGCTTTAGATTTGCAAGCTCTACTGGACTTTGTACACCAGTTGAAATACTTTTGTATATGCAGATCATAGGTTGTTATGTTAATATATATCCTCTCAGGATGCTCTCAGACTGTAGATTAGGCCCACCAGCAATGTTCAAAGCTGCCACAGAAACTCTCAGAACCCAAATATGCTGTAAAAACAAACTCTCCCTGTGCATCTGGGTTTATGTGTGTGGAGGAGACTGAGGTAAGATTGACTAATCATCACTTCTTAAGAGGTGATGAATGAGAAATGTTGTGTGTGTGTGGGTACCTGTGTGTGTAGGGATCATGTACAAACATGTCACACCGTATGAAAAAATACAGCCAAGAGAGAGCTTGTATGGTCCAACTTCATGCACAACAGTTTTGCAGTATTCTTTAATACTGCATCTTGTTTGTGCTTCTATTTGCAAGGAGCAAGCAGAAGTGTGGTATGACTCACCAAGTGACATTTTGTAAACATTCTTGCTCAGAGAAAGGTTAAAACATCTTAAAGTATACATGAAAAGAGAAGCATTGAAGTTAATCAATATTAGGAGGTTTTTTATATTATTACAGTCTCAAGAGATGCTGCTGCTCTGTACTGTACTGCAGGTACAGAAGTAATTTGGTCTATTTCAACAGAGAAATTAGTATTTGTTAGCATGAGACTGATGAAGAGCTCTGAGCTGCATCTTCTGAAATAAACACCTGGTATTTTTCTGTTCATTTTGTTCCTGGGTTCATAAGTTTCCTCTTGTTCTAGTTACCACTCTCTAAAACTGAAGATGCAAAACATTTGTCTTGTTTTTTTGAATTCCACAGATGAATGGAAAAGTGTTTCTTTTGCCAGCCTTATAGCTGTTGACAAGTGAATCAAGGCAAATAAGCCTGGAATTCAAAAAATTGTTTCTGAATTGGTTTATCTAATACATTACTGTTTGTTAGGTATTGACAATACATGGAGTGATGTAGAAGGGAGAGAAGAGAGGTTTCAATATTTTGGGGACAGACAGCAAGCAAAGAAAATTGAGCATATAATTTTCATTTTAAGTTCTCTATCGCTACTGTGGTTTTGCACAAGGGCTGAACTCCAGCTCCTTGTAGTGACTTTAGAGTAAGAGACCTAGGTAGGAGAAATGGGCATAGCAATATAACTTGCAGCATCAGTTTGGAGATTTTTTGACATCAGCTTTTAACAATTAAAAATAGAGGTATTTTTACCCATTTGTGCAAGTGTATGGCTGTAATTTGATTGTTGACTACTAAACTCTATGTATTAACAAAATGAGTTTATTCACTTACTCTGAGTCGTCTTATCTGTGTCTTGACTGTTGAAGCAAGGCCAGCACTTTGGTGTCATTAGTAATCTCACACCACTCCCCAGAGATCTTGCATTAAAATGAAAGATGACTGGGTTTGAAACCCATACTAGGGTCACCTGTCTACTTCATGTGAATTGGGTAGCAACTAGATTCTTCAGGCCTGACATTTTACTTCTTGATGGAAGTTGAACATTGCTAAGGACCAGCAGAAAGCTGCGCTTGAGACCTTCAAATCATTTCCAGATTGTGATGACATTTATCTCTCAAGTGTTGTGCCACAACCCAAGATAATTATGTAGTCTAACTAGTTTTTCATCATTCTAATTTATTAAGTGCTTGTTTGGCATTTAATCCACCTGTCTTCTGCTAGCATTTCTTGTGCTATAACAATAATAATAAAGCTAATCTGAAGCACACTGGAGCTGGTTTTAAAAGTTTTCTGGAATGCATTCAGCCTTGTCCTGCTGTATTTTTCACACTAATGAGAAATATGGATCAATAATAGCCAAACATATCTTTTTAGAGTTTACCAGCACTCCATGTTTTTTAAATGGTTTAATCAGTTTTTGAGAATAATGCTGGTTTAAATCACTATTTCAGCCAGTCTTTCCCAGAGTGATGGTTGTACCTACAACAGAATTCTAGAACCAGGCAGAATATTCAAGTTTTACTCCACAAAGCTGAGAAACTTCATATTGGAAGTCAGTACCTAGAATTGTTGCATTCCTTCTACCCATGTTGTAAGAATGATAACTATATCTTTCTAAGAATTTGGCTTGATTGAATCAGCAGTTAGTTGCCAAACACAATTAATTCTTTAAGCACTCAATTTCACTAGCTCTCTGGATGCACCCTGAATATCTGTTCTTGTGTTGTCCCTCCCTTCTTTTCTCAAGCATGTAGGCAGTCTTCTTAGTTCAAAGCCAGAAGGCTTACTAGGTTTCTCACATCTCCAAAATTTTCTGTTATTTTAACAATTTAGGGATCAATTGACATATCTTGGCTCAGTCATATGTAACTTTTCTTCTAGGGATGCTGA